TAGGGAGAGGTGGGGGAGATAAGAGATCAACCGAAGGACTTGTATGCATGCATATAAGCATAACCAATGGGTGCAAAACTCTAGGGGGTGAGGGCATGTATGGGAGTGGGGTAGGGAGGTAATGGTAAGATATGTACACATATAAGACCTTAATAAAAAAATGGAAAAAAATAAAATATTGCCTCTAAAAAAACACACACAAGAAAAATTGGTAATAAATTATCTAACTCTACAAGGACCCAAATAAAATCAGAAATGAAAGAGGTGAAATAACAATAGACCTTACAACAATGCAAAAGAATGTAAAAAATACTATGAACTTCTCTATTCCAACAAACTAGACAACCATTTAAAAATATTAATAGGATGATAACTATAGAGAAATGTTAGCAATAATAATAACAATAATAATAATAATAATAATAATAATAATAATAATAAAACTTCTAGCAAATAAAAGCCCTGGGCCAGAGGACTTCACATGGAATTTTACCAAACATTCAAAGAACTAAAACCTATTGTCCTGACTATTCCAAAAAACTCAAGAGGAAGGAACACTTCCAAGCTCCTTCTATGAAGGCATCATTACCTTAATCCTAAACCAGATAAAAACACTACAAAGAAAGAGAATTACAGGCCAATATCCCTTATGAAAATAGATGTCAAAATCTAAAGCAAAATTCTAGTAAATCAGATGCAGCATTACATTAGAAAGATCACACACCATGACCGGGGATGCAGGATGGTACAATATCCCCAAATCAATAAACATGATACATCACATAGACAAATTGAGGGGGGGAAATCACATTGTTATATTAATTGATGCAGAAAAAGCATTTGACAAAATCCAACACCTTTTCTTGATAAAAACCCTCAGCAAAGTGGAACTAGAGGGATCATACATCAACATAATAAAAGCTTTATATGACATTATTTGTTTTAATAATGCTTTAAAAAACTTTTTTTAAAAAAGTTTATATTGCCTTTTCTGATGGAGTCAGGTCCTATAGAGGTCTTTCATTTTTATTTATATTCAGTCATCTCTCTTCTTTCCTTTGCATCATTTATTTATTTCTATCTTTGATTTCACTAATTCTTTCCTTCATGTGGCTGGTTCTGTTTTCTATGGTCAATAGTTCACCTTTATTCTCTTTAACTGCATGCTTCATTTCCAGTAATTCTGATTGGTTCGTTCATAAAATTTTGATCTCTTTGGTAAAATACTTGCTTTGTTCATTGGTTTGTTTTCTGAGTGCACTGAATTACCTGTCAGTATTTTCTCACATCTCTCTGAGTATTTCAGAACTGCCATTTTGAAATATCTGTCATCTATATAAAATATTTCCATGTGTTTCAGGTTGCTTTCTGGGGATTTTTTGTTGTCTTTCTAGTCCTCCTTGTTACTGTAGTTGTTCACACTATTTGCTATCCTCCTTTGCTTATATATTTATCTCTGAAGTGATTTACTATTTTCCAGTAGATGGTGCTGAATCGCAATATTTTGTTACCTCTGTGATCTCCCAGTCTTGAACCTCAGCTGCTCTTTAAGAGTCAGCTGAACTCTTTGGGGTGGGTTTTGTTTTGCCCTCACCATAATGGTAACCCCTGACCTCCATGAGTTGCCACCCAAAGCACCCTTCCTAGGTATCACTCACAGAGGGAAACTGCAATTCTATAGCAACAGCTTTTGGTTTGCATCTAATATGCCCCTAACCCAATGCCACAGGAAATTGGAGGTGACTTTTGGTAGTGCAGCAAGGCTCTGAGGTTCCATTTCTTTGAATGAAACAGGTTCCATTTATTTGTCTGAACCACCACCACTTGCCAAACAGCGGAAAGCCTCAGAACAGAACTCCCTGCTCTGTCTGGCATCTGTGGACTCAAACACTGTTCACTTCCCTGTCATTGGCCCTGCTGGGTTGTCTCCCCCACCCAGTTCTCTGTTTCCCTTGGCCTAAAGAAGTACCTACTACTGCCGCATTTCAGTTAGCCAAGCCATAAACTCCCATCTGCAGGGCTGCATCTGTGCATTGCCTGTGCTTTTCTCCTTTCTTGTCTCCCGGTTTATTTCCCGTTGCCTACCATTAGATGTTTCAGTGTTCAGAGCTCTCAGACATGCATCTGTGTTGAGCAGGGATTGCTTTGTTGAATTAAAGTTGGTTACCTTGTTGAAATTTCAGGGGGAGAGGAAAAGGTCTCTCATGTAACCTTCTTCTGGCTGCATGCAAATGTAACCCAACTAAAACTGGGACAGCTATACTGATGTCAGACAAACTATACTTTAAAAAAAAATAATGTAAGGAGACAAGGAAAGTCATTACATAGTAATAAAATTGTCATTCCAAGAAGAGGTTATAATGTTTGTAAATATATCCACCTAATATAGAAACACCTAAATAGATAAAGCAAATTATCATAGGTGCAAAGAGAGACATAAATAGCAATGCAGACATAAGTAGGAGTAAATCCCCCACTTTCATTAATGAAAATATCATTCAGGCAGAAAATCAATAAGAAAATATTGACCATAAATGACATAGAAGAAATTGATTTAAAAGTCATTAAAGAGTGCCCTAGCTGATTTGGCTCAGTGGATAGAGCATTGGCCTGTAGACTGAAGGGTCCCAGGTTTGATTCTGATCAAGGGAACATGCTCGAGTTCAATCTCCAGTAGGGAGTGTGGAGGAGACAGCCAATCAATAATTGTTTCTCATCATTGATGTTTCTATCTCTCCCTCTCCCTTCCTCTCTGAAACCAATAAAAGAAATCTAAAAAGAAAAAAAAAGTCATTAAAGAGCATTCCACTCAGAAGAAACAGAATATACATTCTTCTAAAGTGCACATGGAACTTCCTTCAGAACAAATCATATTAGACCATTTTAAAATTTAATCATTTTTAAATTTCAGTAAAATTTAAAAATACTGAAGTCATATTAATCACTTTCATTACCACAGTGTTATAAAGTTAGCCGTAATTTACAAGAAGAAACCTGGATGATTTCCAAATATGTGGAGGTTAAACAACATATTACTGAGCAAATAAAAACTCAAAAAATAAATAAAAATTAAATCTTGAGACAAATGAAAATAGAAATACAACACACCAAAACTTTTTATATTCAATAAAATACATTTATATAATAAAGTTTATACTAATAAATACCTACATAAAGAAACAAGAAAAATCTGAAATAAATAACCTAATTTTACTCCTTAGGGAACTGGAAAAAAAATCAAAATTCAAACTTAGTAGAAAAAATGAAATAAAGATTAGAGCAGAAATAAATAAAATCCTACCTAATAAAAGAGTAATATGCAAATTAACTATCACTCCACTCAAGCCATGCCCACCAGCCAATCAGAGCAAGTATGCAAATTAACCCCAACCAAGATGGCTGCAGCCACAGAGAGCAGTTGAGAGGCTTGAGTTTCCCCGACAATGGAAGCCAAGCTTTCCACACACCCTGGCCTGGCTAGGCCTCCACTCAAGGATACAAAGTTTCAATTATAGAAGATAAATCCCAAGAAAAATGGTGGCAGCCATGGAGATGGAGAGAACTGGCTAGGGTTGCCCCTGGCAATGGAGGAAGCAAAGCTTTCCATCTGCCCTGGCTGGCCTAGGCCTCCACTCAAGGCTATAAATTTTCAATTATAGAAGATATATAAAACCAAACAGAAATTGTAGCAGTCACGAGTGAGCAGGGGGCTTGGCTCTACTCCAGGCTACAAAGTTTCAATTGTAGAGGGTAAATAAAATCCCAGATACCAGGGCCTCCACTTGGGTCACTGGGGGGTATGGTTGGCCTGAAAACCACCACAGGCCCCTCAGCCAGGCCGCCCCACACCCCAAGGGAACCCCCACCCTGATCCGGGACACCCTTCAGAAAAAACCAGCTGGCCCCCACCAGTGCACCAGGCCTCTATCCTTTCTAATAAAAGAGTAATATGTAGATCACTCCAACACACAAGCTGGATGCCCCCATGTAGTCAAAGATCCTGCCCCCATGTGGACACAAGATAGCCACCACAAGATAGCCAGCAGGAAGGGCAGTTCAGAGGGACCAGGTCTGCAAGGGAAGGCTGTTGGAGGTGATCAACCCTGCAGGGGAGGGCAGTTAGGGGTGGCCAGGCCTGCAAGGGAGGGAAGTAGGGGGCAAACAGGCTGGCAGGGGAGCAGTTAGACATCAATCAGGCTGGCAGGGGAGTGGTTAGGGGGTGATAAAGCTGGCAGGCAGAAGCGGTTAGGGGCAATCAGGAGGGCAGGCAGGTGAGCAGTTGGGAGCCAGCAGTCCTGGATTGTGAGAGGGATGTCTGACTGCAGTAGAACTTCCCCTAAGGGTTCCCAGATTGGAGAGGGTACAGGCTGGGCTGAGGGACACCCCCCCACCCCATGCACGAATTTTGTGTACCAGGCCTCTAGCTTATATATATATATAAGTCTAAGCTACCATTCGACCATTCGACCATTCGACCATTTGGCTGTTCTACCATTCGTCCAGCAGCTATGATGTGCACTGACCACCAGGGGGAAGATGCTCAATGCACAGGCATGGAAACATGGAACAGACTGATGAATTTCAGAGGGAAGGGGGGAGAGTGGGAGGAGATTAACCAAATATGTTATATGCATATTAGAGGCCCGGTGCATGGATTTGTGCACCAGTGGGTTTCCTCGGCCTTGCCTGCAGGAATCAGGCCAAAACCAGCAGTATGATATCCCCCAAGGGGTCCTGGATTGTGAAAGGCCACAGGCCAAGGGACCCACTGAAGCACAAACCATCTGGACATCCATCTGGACAAAGTCACAGTGGCTACAAGGGCCTAGGGCCCATGGAGGAGTGGCCCACCACTACAGGAGCAGGAGTGGAAGAGAAAATACCACCACCACAGGAGCCAGAGTGGAGGCAGCACCTCTGCCGTGGGAGCAGTAGCGGGTGGGTGCAAGGACTATGACCTTTGCATTAACTGCTACAGCACAAAGGGCCACACCCACAAGATGGTGAAGCTGGGCCTGGATGAAGAGGCTGATGAGGGTGGCAGCCAGCATGAGCTGCAGTTCAGGAGCCTCCAGGAGTGGTGGCACCAGGCCATCCAATGCTGCATCCAGTCACTGAGGCATGCCCACCAGTGCCATGATACCAACTGCCCACAGCTGTCCTGCCAGAAGATGAAGAAGGTTGTCCAGCATAACAAGAGCTGCCAGTGCAAGACCAATGGAGGTTGCGGAGTGTGCAAGCAGTTCATCACCCTTTGCTGCTACCATGCCAAACACTACCAAGAAACACATGCCCCATTCCCTACTGCCTTTGCATCAACCAGAAGTTCCACCAGCAGGAGATACAGCACCACTGGCAGCACACATAGCTCATGTGCTAGCGGATGCTACCATCAATACCCGCACCATGCCTCAACACAGTCAACCTTACCTTCCTTTAGCACCACCCTGGCCCTCCACACTGCATTCCAGAATACCCTGGAAACCACAGAGCCTGACTGCCTCTGCCCTTGCCTGTAAGCATGTCACTAACTGGATTCTCCAATGTAGTCAGAACTCAGCCTCCTACCATAGTTTTTACTGGGAAGCTCACTAACTAGGTGCCAGCCCCTCAACCCAGTCCCACCTGCAGCAGTGGAGGCACCCAGCAGATTGCACATGAGGCAAAGCAGCAGCACCTGTACTGTGTGAGCACCAACAACGGTATGCCCCTGAGGCACAGTGACCCCCGAGATCCAGATGGCCCTCACAGGCCTGAATGTGGTCCCTGGGATTGTTATTCTGCCCCTTGAGCCCTGGCAGTGGCAGCTGGCACTAATCCCCCAGCAACAGTCAATGCGAGGCATACCCAGACCCATGATGTCTATGCAGACCCAAGGTGCAGCCATCTCAGAGCATCTCTCCAGAAATACAAAATCTGAGTTGATTATCAATAAAAAGATTTTATCAATAATCAAAAACCTCCCACCAAATAAAAACCAAGATTGAGATGATGTCAGAGATAAATTGAATCATACACTTACGGACACATTTATACCCACCCTTCTCAAATTCTTTCAAAAACACAGACGAGAAGTAAACACTTCTGAACTCATTTATGAGGCCAGAATAACTTTGACGCCAAATGAGACAAAGATACCATGTGAAAATAAAAAATAAAAAAAAATAGTCATGGGGATATAAAGTACAGTATAGGGAATCTTATCTAATAAATAGGGAATATGCTAATTTACCATCACACCCTCACAAAATGGTGGCACCCATAGTCAATAAGAAGGAAATATGCTAATTGATTGTCATGCCCTCAAAGATGGCAGCACCCACAGATACAAGATGGTGGCGCCCAGTCCCCTTAGCCCCGCCAGGGTGGCAGGTGCATGGTATAGCCAGGCCTGCCCCCAGGTGGGTCCAGCCACTCTGTGCACCTGCCTCCAGAGTCCCCCAGTCCCCTCAGCCCCCCAGCCACCCAGGGCCAGCCCAAGGTTCAGGCAAGCCTCAGATATCGGCTGCCAAACTGCCCAGGATGGGCCCGAGGTGCAGGCATGCCTTGAATGGTGGCTACCCAGATTCCCAGGGCTAGCCCAAGGTACAAGAAAGCCTCAGATGGCCGTTGCCTAGCCACCCAGGGCAAGCCCCATGTGCAGGCAAGCAGTAACTAGGGCTCTCCAAGGCATGTGTTGCCAGCAGTGGAAGCAGCAGAGGTGTGATGGGGGCATCACCTTCCCCTGATTGCTGGGTTGCCTCCCACCCCTGAGGGCTCCCAGACTGTGAGAGGGGGGAGGCCGGTCTGAGGGACCCCCCCTCCAGTGCATGAATTTTCATTCACAGGCTTCTAGTATCCTATCTAATAAAAGAGTAATTTGCAAATTGACCATCATTCCAACACACAAGATGGCCACGCCCATGTGGTCAAAGATGGCTGCCCGCATGTGGACACAAGATGGCCACTACAATATGGCCAGCAGGGGAAGGCAGTTGGTAGGGACCAGGCTTGCAAAGGAGGGGAGTTGGAGGTGATCAAACCTGCAGGGGAGGACAGTTGGGGGGGAGAGCCAAGGCCTACAGGGAGGGCAGTTGGGGGTGACCAAGGCCTTCAGGGGAGGGCAGTTGGGGGCAGCCAGGCCTTAAGAAGGGCAGTTGGGGGGGGACCAGGCATTCAGGGGAGGGCAGCTGGGGACAACTAGACCTGAAGGAGAGGACAGTTAGTGGTGAGCAGGCCTGCAGGGAAGGGCAGTTGGGGGTGACCAGGCTGGCAAGGGAGGGCAGTTGGGGGTAACTGGGCCAGCAGGAGAGGGCAGTTGGGAGCAGCCAGGCATACAGGGGCGGACAGTTAGGGTCAATCAGGCTGGCAGGGGAGCCATTAGGTGTCAATCAGGCTGGCAGGGGAGTGGCTAGGGGGTAATCAGGCTGGCAGGCAGAAGCAGTTAAGGGCAATCAGGCAGGCAGGCAGGTGAGAGGTTGGGAGCCAACAGTCTTGGATTGTGAAAGGGATGTCCAACTGCCCATTTAGGCTGGTCCCACCAAAATTGGGTCCTAAATGATCAGTTGGACATCGCTTGAGGGGTCACAGATTGGAGAGGGTGCAGGCTTGGCTGAGTGATACACACACACACACACACACACACCCTTACACAAATTTCATGCATCGGGCCTCTAGTAATCAATAATATAATAGAAAATATGTGTTCTGTCAGGTGGGTACTAGACTTATTGGAGCAACACTTTTTAGGTTTTATAAATGTACTAGAGGCCTGGATTTGTGAAAAGCAAAGACTTTTCAGTAACCATCAGAGCTCACCTTCATGGGGTTCCTCAGTCTGGCCTGCAGGGACCAGTGGACCTCCGTGCTGCTGCAGCCCGACCTTACCCACCAGCTCGCCAGGCTCCAGCCCAGTGTCTGCGTTGATCCTGCACTACATAAAGTAGTATTTTAAAAAGTGGCAGGTGGCCCAGAAAGTAGCCCAAGCCCAGGGTGAGTTCCATGCTGCTCACACTCATCCTGGCCCCACTGTGCCTGCTGCTGCCACAACTCAGACGTGCAAAGGGAGTGTTGCAGTAGAGGCTTGTGCAGCCATGCTTGCCAGCCATCAGTCCAACATCTGGTACCCATCTGTCAACTGAGTTGTGCCCCCACTGTGGAAGTTCACTGACCACCATGGGGTAGCTCCTGCATTGAGCATCTGCCCCCTGATGGTCAGTGTGCATCATAGCTACTGGCCAGTCATCTGGTTGTCTGGTTGCTTAGGCTTTTATATATATAGATAATCACTATGAATTATACCTGAAAATAATATGACAATTATGTCAACTGCAATTAAAAAACAATATTATAAAAAAATAGCTATTGTAAATAATGCTGCTATGAACATAGGGATGTATATATTCTTTCTGATTGGTGCTTTGAGGTTGTTAGGATATATTCCCAGAAGGGGGATTGCTGGGCCAAACAGAAGTTCCATTTTTTTTATTTTTTGAGTAACCTTCATACTGTTTTCCATAATGGCTGCACCAATCACAAATCTGCATTCCCACCAACAGTCAACTAGTATTCCCTTTTCTCCACATCCTTGACAGCAATTTTGTCTGTTGGCTTTTTTATGATAGAGGGTGTGAGGTGATATCACATTGTGGTTTTAATTTGTGTTTCTATTATGATTAGTAACTTAGAGCATTTTATATACCTCCTGGCCATCTGTATGTCCTCTTTGGAAAATGTCTATTCAGGTCTTCTGCCATTTTTAATTGGATTATTAGTCTTCCTTTTGTTATGTTGCATGAGTACTTTATATATTTTGGAAATTAACTCCTTATCATGTGTATCATTGGCAAATAAGTTCTCTCATATAGTATGTTCACTTTTTATTTTGATGATGGTTCCTTTGCTGGGCAGATGCTTTTTTTAAATATATTTTATTGATTTTTCACAGAGAGGAAGAGAGAGGGATAGAAACTTAGAAACATCGCTGAGAGAGAAACATCGATCAGCTGCCTCTTGCACACCCCCCACCAGGGATGTGCCCACAACCAAGGTACATGCCCTTGACCGGAATCGAACCCGGGACCTTTCAGTCCGTAGGCCGACGCTCTATCCACTGAGCCAAATCGGTTTCGGCTGGGCAGATGCTTTTTATTTTGATGTAGTCCCATTTGTTTTTGTTTTTGTTTTTTTTATTTGTTTCTATTGTCCTGGGAGATGTATCAACAAAAGTTCTGCTAGGTGAGATTACTGATATTTTGCTGCTTCTGTTTTCTTCTACATTTTTTATGGTTTCACAACTTACATATAAGTAAGATTATGATTTGAACCTCATACCGTGTACCATGTAGGTTTTATATGCAGATCCTTATATACTTTTGTAGGCTATAATTTTTATGGCTGTTTAATTTTCATAGTCTTTGCTGCATTATTTTGATCTGCCTGGTTTAGTTGGTGCTGCCGGGACTCACAATGGTTTCTGTTGATGTTGCCTAAGAGGATGGATGGGGATTACCCAGTCTGATTCTCTAGGCAGAGTGTCTCTTCATGGACGTAGGGTGTGGTGGGATCTGTCTATAGGCTGACCCCTCTTGAGATGTCCCAATATATATGGACTAAAGGAAAAGACTCTTGGCCTATGAAGACAATAATATTTTCCAAGCATCCGCTTATCATAGATACATCCCTCCCACCAGTTTTGCCTGCCAGTCCTGGTGTCTGGGTTTTGGAGGAGAGTCCCAGGATTAGGCAAACAAACAGGCTTTTTAGACCATGGTTTTGGCTGTTGCTGGGTCTCTCCTGTGGTCTCTGTCCACTAACCTCAATATATCTTTTCTTTCCCTTTTTTACCACTTAAACTTTTGGGGAGGTCAGACCTGGCAGGAGTGTCTCCCTGTCTCCTTATTGTTGACTGGGCTCCCATTTGATACCCCTTATTGAAAGAGTCAGGCTTCCCTGACTCCAGTTTGATATTGATTCCGGTTTGATCCAGAAATGGAATCAGTCTACCTGTGCTGCCTTCTGTCACTACCTCATGGGAAGGGAAATAATAGTTTAGGTCACCATCTTATTTCTCATGGTGGACACTAGATGTAGTTCAATTCCTTCATTACACATTTAAGAGTTCTCCTGTGGTTGTCTTTTGGACCATTCCCAGGGTTTATAATTTTTCTTAGTAAGGAAAAAAGGGAAAATGGGTCTATATCATCCTGTCTTGACAGGAAGTGTCCATATTTACTCTTTTTTAGACCCCCTCTAACCTGCACACCCCCCCCAACGCCTTCACCACACTATTTTCTGTGTCCATGGTCATGCATTTAGTCTTAATTTTTTAAATGCTAAAAGAAAGAAAAGGTAGTATATAATGAGTGGTAGAATTAATGATGGTATTTATTTTATTTTTCTATTTAAATAAAATTGAAAGTAAAATTAGCCATCTCTAAAATAAAATTGTACAGTGGAATAAGCAGAGCTTTGTAATCCTGAGTTTGATTTCCAGCCTATTCTTTCTTACTCTGGTGTTATTGGCCAAATAATTTATTTT